GTGAGGGCTTACGGCGAGCTGTCATCTGAACTGATGACGACCAGTGGTGTCCGTCAAGGATGCCCATTATCTCCTTTTCTATTCAACTTCATCATAGATGTGTTAATGGACTTAACCCTAGGTGACTTCAGCGACTCAGGGATTGACTTGCTACCGGGGAATAATCTCGTTGACTTGGAATATGCAGACGATATAGTCCTTCTAGGCGAAGACGCTGACGAAATGCAGAGTCTTCTAAACACCTTGAGCCGCAATCTACGAATGTTTGGCATGCGATTCGCTCCCGCCAAATGCAAGATGATGTTACAGGACTGGACTACATCGACGCCTAGTTTAAAAATAGGAAGTGAAGTGGTAGAGCACGTTGACCGCTTCACTTATTTGGGAAGTACCATCAGCCCCAACGGGCTGATCTCTGACGAAATCTCAGCACGAATACAAGGGGCTCGTTTCGCATTTGTTAGTTTACGCCGACTCTGGCGTAGACGAGATGTTCGACTATCGACCAAAGGGCGGGTGTACTGCTCATCAGTCCGCTCCGTCCTCCTTTATGGTTGTGAGACCTGGCCACTGAGAGTGGAAGACATGAAAAGACTAGCTGTCTTTGATCATAGGTGCCTGCGTTCTATTTCCCGTGTAAAGTGGCATAATAAGGTGAGCAACATGGAGGTTAGGCGTAGAGTTCTAGGTAAACAGGGGAAATCAATCGACGAAGTCGTGAAGCTACAAAGACTGAGATGGTTAGGACATGTGTTACGTATGCCAAGCCATCGCCTCCCTCGACGAGCAATGTTAGCGGATATAGGGTCAGGCTGGAAAAAAGCTAGCGGCGGTCAAACAAAAACTTGGCATCAGTCAATGAAATCCACAACAGTTGGTCTAAGCCACGTAGGAAGGTGTAGACTTCCAGGCTGGGGTCCTCGGGACGGTAAAAATCTATGGTTGGAAACAATTGGTGACATGGCTCAAAATCGTTCTCAGTGGCGCAGATGCATCCACTCCCTGTGACTTATGATCTTCAATGAAACTGTTTTGTATTTCTTTATTACTCCTTTGTCTCACACCTCTGCTCACTGTTTCTATTATGCTTTTCTTGTACTTTCTTCTCTTGCTTCGCGTGCTACACGGAATGTGGCGACTTGAACTTCCGCACATTTGTGCAAAGTTCTATGTCGAAAACAGACAGACAGACTAGGAACCGAAGGAAAAAGGGTTGATAACGGTGCATGACTTCCAAAACCTCAATAGCATTATTCGAACCTATGACAGAAGATGAGCACATAGACGAGAACGAGCCACCAACACAGATCTATTGACTCCTGTGATGAATATGGCAATCACATTTTCCAATCTGTTACCATAAAATTTGCATATTACTGATCCTGAATGTCAACTCAGAAGATTGTAACAACTGTGTGGAATGTGATTGGGTTATTTCTGAAAACAAAGTATATATTCCTTGAAGTTGACTTCGCCTTTATCCCTTTCTAAGATATTAAATTACTTTGTGGGGGGGGGGAAGGGAGGTAACTCAAGAAGTATGGTATGCTTTTAATATATGCTGAAACTAGCATTGAGAAGTTCATTGACACGATGTAACGAGTGATGATAACAGAAGGTGATATGAGAAACTGGATTGTTTCAACTTTAAAGTTAACAGTCCCCCCCCCGGACGAAGGAAGATATCATGTGCACGAAAACGCACACAAGGGGGACATTAAAAAAAACGACAGAATTGATCGCCAGTGATGATCAATCAGACTGCCATAAGGTTAGTATCTTAAACTGATAGATTCATAATGGTTGAGATGATTAGGGCGTATGTAGTATAGGCATGTTAAGTCATCAGTGCTTTCCCCATCATAACCAACAATAGCTGACAATGGATTGGATAGGAAGGGTGTTAGGTGAGTGGTCGAACCAAACAGTGACAACATGCTTGAAATGCTCCCATATGACCGGGCGTCTTACATAGCCTCTCCTGAGGAAGTCCTACTCACTGCCTTCACGTGGCGGAGGTGTTTTTCACCGAAGTGAGAGAGCAAAAGCGGATTCCCGGCGCTCTTCACCGGGTTGACTGTCCATTGGATGACAGTCTAGGGGAGATGCCTAAACCCTGATTCCAAATCTCCAACAACTGGCGTGTGAAGCTCACCGGAGCTCACCGGCAGACGTATGGACAAAGGGCTTATTGGATGCCCTGGATGTCTGGCCCCATTCAAAAAGGCGTATGAACCGGACTCCAGTCACCGGCTGCCTATGGATAATGGACTCCCTACTCCACTCCTACTGCCTTGTAGGTCACACTTGGTTATGTAAAGGCTAGAGCTGCACTCTCAAACAAAAGGCTGAGCGATTCTGAGGACATCACTCGTACCTAATTCCCGTGAAACTTCATGAACTCTCTACAACATCAACCAAATCCCAGTACTGGTCCAACAACGTCGCCTTCGGTGGTTTGGCCATGTTCTCCGCCGACCAGATGACGATCTGATCAAATCAGTTTATCATCTGGTCGCCATTTCCATCTTGGCGATGTCGCAGGGGTGGACAGCTGAAAACATGGCTTGGTACAGTCAAGGCTGATATGGAGTGCCTGGGCTGGGGCTACAAACCGTCTACGGACTCCGTCTGTGGAACAAGAATTGGATAACCCTGTCGCAAAACCTTGCATCAGATCGCCGCGCCAGGGCAGCGATGATTCGAGATGTTCATGAAGCCGGCTCATCCTCCCGTAGGAGATAGCCGAAGTTAAGTAAAAGTAAGTAAGCCTATATATTGATTAAGAGAATTATTACCGACATGATTACACCGTAGCTGCATATTTATAATAATCATTCAATGCATTCTTTGTTTCCCTTTGCATCTCTGATATATAACATAAAATAATTCAGCAAAGAATATCATTTTCGATAATTTCCTCTTCTGGCTCTACAATAATATACATAGATATGTTTATATACACAGAATATTCTAGATTAGTAGTTAATAACAATATTAGTGTTTTTTTTTAAATACTATAGATTTGTTAAGTAAGATCACAGTGGAATTACAGTTTCCTTAAAGATGCATAAATTACAATAATAATAATAATAAAGATATAGTAGGAAACAGAATATCAACTAAAATTAAGGAAATTTCACCAAAAATTGAGGATCATTCAAACCTAGATAGCCAAGTGGGTAAGGATATTGTCTAAACTAACTTCTTTTGGACGCACGAATTAAACTTCTTCATGTGGATCTCACCTACCTCAGCAATATTTAGTAGTCGAACTCTGAAAGCAAAGTTAAGATCAGTTGTTTGGTATGCGGTAAATGACTTTAACAGCAGCCTGATTGACATCAATCTTGTGTTCTGTCTGTATCCACAAGACAAAACAGAATAACGATACGATGAGGAACACGCCTAATTGTACGGCTTGTGTAACTGGCTCCACAGGAGCAGTTACATTGGTAAATACACATGGTACAGGCGAAATCAGGCAGTTTTCAAAGACACCGCGTAATTCGACGGCAGGGAATGCTCTGTTTACCGCATTTCTAGGGCATTGTATTAGTATGTCGCTGATGTTGTGTCCCCAAGAGACTGTATTTGTAAGGATGAGGCCTTTATAGGAACTGTTCGTACCTTGAGCTGATTTGATTTTAGATTCATATTCTTTACAAATCGATATTACTTTTAAAAAAATCCACTAATATTCTTATTGACTACTAATCTAGAATATTTTTATGAATATATATATACACTTGTAGAACCAGAAGAAGAAATTCTCGGAAAGGATATTCTTTGCTCAATTATTTTGTGTTTTACAGATGTCTGAATGAATATTCAACATTAGACAACAACAAGATGTTTCTCAAATCCTGTGTGACTATTTCAGGCATGTATAATTGACTATCCAATACACCAACGTGATGTGTCAATGGCAGAATGTCTGTCGGGCACGGACACACACAAACACAGACACGTGTTTCGGGTTCGATTACCCGGCTGACACACACACCTAGCCTACTTTATTAGCCAATAATAAACCCTGAAGAAAGAAAGATTTGGCGCAAGACTAGCGACTCAACCGCATAAAAAAAACGACAGCACTATCGTAAAACATCAAAACTTCAAAAGTTTGGAGCGCTTTATAATCCACTCGGAAGGTCAGGAATGAGACAGACAGATAGAGACTAGTCATTCTGACACAGACACACACAATAAAACCCAATATTGTCTGCAATTCAAGACAAACTATTACGCATATCTGATAATACTAGAAGTAGTAATAATAACAAATATAATTTTATACTCATAATTTAGGATGTTTAAGGATGTCACACTGGATTCAACGTAAATTTCGCCACCAAGTAACATCAATGGTTTCAGGATTTCATCATGAGCTGACATTGGTTCTCTAACTAATGACTAGCCCCTATTCAGGTAGGTAGTTACCTGGGTTCCAGTGGGAAGTCAAGACCAGTAGGGTGCACCGGGTCGGGTGTGAGGACAAATACTCGCCACGGAAGACATTGGCTAGCGGTCGCACTGTGTCGTGAATTGGCAGAAGTTAGAATTCAAGGACCATTGGATCGGGTCCCAGTGGCTGAATGGTATACGAGCTCGCCTTGTAACCGGAAGGTCCTGGGTTCGAATCCCGGTGGGTGCGTACTGCTGAAGAGCCCCAAACTAGAACGAAACAGCTGTCCAGTACTCCCTGATTGGTTTTCCAATGGTTCTCTAACTAACTAATGTCAGCTCATGATGAAATCCTGAAACCAATCAAATCCCTACAAACCAACACTTGAACATCAATGGTTAATGAATCATACTAAAAATAGAGTAGTCCACTGAATAGCTAGCTCCAAATTGAAGAGTCACAAAAAGCAAGGATGTAACAACTGATAAAAACAGTTGCACCATCACATTTATGTCTCTTAGTGAGAAGATCTAGTGTGTGTGTGTGTGTGTTGACTGACATGTAATTAAAATTCACAAGTATTAAAACTTACTTCACTGTTCAAAAAGTTAATCATAGCTTGTTCAGCTAATACTTTTGATTCTTGGAATTTCTCTTCAGCCACTTTTAAATCATCTTCTGGTAGTCTAGAATTACTTGCACCTTATAGTTAATAGGGAAGGAAAAAGTGGATAGACAGAAAAAAAAATTAGAGAGAAATGGTACTGGTCAATGATAAGTGGTTTTATAAAAAGTAAATATGCATACGAGTAGGGGTTATAGGGGAAAATAACTATTATTGTGGTGAGAGCAGCCTGCTAGCCAATTGGTTGACATTAATCTACATCAATGTCTAGGTCACTAATATGGGCCGTTAAAAAAATATGAACAAGGCTGTTTCAACAACCAATCACAGCAAACTTAGACGTAGGCAAATATGATTCGCAAATATATGGCTCCATTTTCCGAGGAACTCGAAAACAACCAATCAGAAGACTGCGTTTGCCTACTTGACTAGGCTATAATAATGTATGTGAAATATATATAAATACGTGCTGATTTCCGTAATAAAAAGATCTGTCGCCTGGCCCTTGTCATTATCACATGGCGACTACATGATACATTAATAATCATAAGAAGGATAACTTGTGAAACCAAGATTAAAATGTACAACTACAACATAGAATAATATATATTGATAATACAGTTAGCATTACAATTCTGTCTGTCTGTTTTCAACACAGAACTTTGCACCGATGTGAAGCAGTTCGAGTCGCCACACTCCACTCCATGTAGCACACAAAGAAGGCGAGATGACAGTTGAAGAAATGCATAATAGAGACAGTAAACAGAGGTGTGAGACAAAAGGAATAGTAATAATGAAGAACAATGGAGTTTCATTGGAAATTATAAGTCACAAGGAGTGGATGCATCTGCGCCAAGCCAGACATTGAGAACGATCACTTTGAGAAATATCACCAACTGTCTCCAGCCTTCATTGGTTTTTACCATCCCGAAGACCCCAAACCAGTCAGGAAGTCTACACCTTCCTACGTGGCTTAGACTAACTGTTGCAAATTTCATTGACCGGTAACATGTTTTGGTTTGACCACCAATAATTGGCTCTTTTCTAGTCTCACCCTATGTCAGCTAACATTGCCCACTGCCGAGGAAAGTGATGGCTAGTGGTGCATACGTAACATATGCCCTGAACACCCCAATCGATAAAACTTCATTGTCACGTCTATTGATTTCCCCTACTTACATAGCACTCAACTGAGGCTTCACCTCAATATTGCTCACCCCATATTACCAATTCACACGGGAGATAGAACGCAGGTACCTATGATCAAAGACAACTAATCTTTTCATTTCTTCCATTCTCAATGGCCAGGTCTCACTAAGACCCATAAAGAAGGACAAAGCAGACTGCTGAGTAGTACACAACCACCTGTGGGCGATAAACAGCCGGATATCACGTCTACTAAGCCAGAGACGGCATACACTGACATATGCGGAACTAGCCCTCTGTATCCTTGCTGAAATTTCGTCAGCGATCAACCCGTTGGCACTGGTTGATGGTACTTCCCAAATAAGTGAACGTGCGGTCAACGTGCTCTACCACTTCACTGCCTATTTCTAGGCTAGGAGTGAGTTGATGTAGTCCAGTGTCGCAGCATCATCTTACATTTGGCGGGAGCGAATAGCATGCCAAACAAACATCCGCAGATTGCAGTTCAAGGCGTCCAGAAGACTCTGCTCGGTTTTTTTTAGCGTTTCCACCTTGGAGGTAGGAATATATCATTTGCATATTCTAAGCCAACAAGATTATTCCCTGGTGGTAAGAAGTCAATCAGCCACTGAGTCACTGAAGTTACTTAAGGTTAATGAATTACAATTAAAATAAGATAAAAACATAATAAGATACTATATACAATTATTCCGTGTCTCTGGGAGAGATAACTATTTTAGGTTGGGAACGAGGGCCAAGGGAGGGGGAAGGGGATTGGACTGAAAAGACGTTTTCTGAAGACAGAGAGAGTGCGTTGAAAAAAAATATTTATGGCAACTACCTCAACTATTCTTAGCAATCGAAGACGTAGCAACCTAGGGAATTGAAGTAGCACACAGTATAGAATTGTAAAAGCTGGATTTCTGTCAGTCAGTGCTTTGTATTCACTATGTGTGTCAGTATGGAACACTTCTGATTGACTTTTGGGACATCTTTACCTAATCACATTAGATAATTCCCTCGAAGGCGATGGTAGGCTTGCCGAGTCGTTCTACCTACGTAACTGTCGCCAGATGATCAGGTGAATTTATGAATGCACAATGAAGTGACCAGAATCGGTATGATTGTTTGATACAAAAGTTTTATGAATAGTCACACACACACACCCAATCGAGTTCGGCGTCTAACAATTGTCATATTTCTTGACTTGAAGGCGGCCTTCAACTCCGTGGATCGAAAGGCACTATGTCAATGTTTGACTGTGAAGGGAGTGCCAAGAAAGTACATTGCACTAATCAAGGCACTCTATTCAAACTCACGTAGTCGTGTAAGGGCTTATGGGGAATTGTCATCTGAATTGATAACAACCAGTGGTGTCCGACAGGGATGTCCACTCTCCCCATTCCTGTTTAACTTCATCATAGATATCCTGATGGAAGTATCCTTAACTGAACGCAATGACTTGGGAGTCGACTTGTTACCAGGGAATAGTCTTATGGACTTAGAATATGCAGATGACATGGTCCTGTTAGGGGAGGATGCTGACAAAATCCAACAGAGACTTCTGAACACCTTGAGCAGCAATCTTCGTATGTTTGGCATGCGATTCGCCCCTGCAAAATGTAAGATGCTGCTACAGGACTGGACCACGTCAACTCCTAGCTTAGTGATAGGAGGTGAAGTGATAGAACATGTTGACCACTTCACCTATTTGGGAAGTTGTATCAGCCAGCACCAACGGACTGATTGGCGACGAAATCTCAGCACGGATCCAAAAAGCTCGAGCTGCTTTCGCTGACTTACACCATCTCCGGCGTAGGCGGGACATCCGGTTATCAACAACCAAGGGACCTGCGTACTGCTCAGCAGTTCGCTCCGTCCTTCTCTATGGCTCTGAAACATGGCCAATACGCGTTGAAGACATGAAAAGGTTGACTACTTTCGATCATAGATGTCTGCGATCTCTTTCTCACGCTAGGTGGTTTAAAAAGGTAAGTAATGTTGACGTTAGGCGTAGAGTGATGGGCAAAGAGGGAAAATCAATCGACGAGGCTATAAAGTTACATAGACTGAGATGGCTAGGTCACGTGCTGCACATGCCTAACCATCGCCTCCTCCGACGGGCATTACTTGCTGAATGATAAAGGTGCAGGTTGGAAAAGAGTAAGTGTTGGGTGGCCAAACAAAAACATGGCCTCATCAATCCATGAAATCCTTGATAGTTGAACTGAGTCAGGGAGGGAGGGAGACGCAGACTTCCGGGTTGGGGCCCTCAAGACTCTAGGAATCAATGGCTGGAGACAATAGGTGACATGGCTCAAAGTGATCGTTGTCAATGGCCAGCGAAGATGTATTCAGTCTCTGTAATCTTTCATATTCCTTTCTACCATTACCCATTCTGTTTCACTCTTATGCCTGTCAAACTCTATTGATTCTCTTCATTCATCTTCTTGTCTACCTTTGTGATCTATTTGGAACGTGGCAACTCGAACTGGTGCACTTCGGTGCCGAGTTCTATGTTGAATCCAGACAAACAGACGGAATGAAGAGCATGAAAAAGTAGTTTAACGATGAAACTCTTTATCGGGCTAACTGTCGGCTAAGCATGATTATAAAGTGCCTCGGTCAGAACTAAACCCCGAACAACGTGGTTGGCTGGCGATTATCCTACCACTGACGATGTACTACGACAGCTGCTTCATCCTAGTTCAGAACTCATAGACGGTACGCACCAACCACGGGGGTCGAACCAAAGACCTTCCGGTTGAAAGACAAGCTTGCAGACTGCTCAGCCGCTGGGAAACGATCCCAGTCACACTTGTATACAACTATATAATCATAGCTGCGAATATCGGTCAATACATAAGAGAAGTTGAATAAGACTATTGGAGTTATGTAATGAGCTCCAGACAGGATACACACAGAAAGGAGGGGGGGCGGAAAATTATTTTTAAAAATCAAACCATTTGGTAAACAACAGCAAGGTCAATAGAAGCCGTTGAATAATTCTATTTTCTATGCAAAGCTCCAGTGCCTCTAATGTGAATGCCCCCAGCAGCTTCAGCAATGCGAAACAAGCGAAAGCGTACTGTCTTCAGCAGATTTCTCTTCACTCTGTACACATTTCTACAGAGCTCAAACTATTAGTTAAAGACTTGATGGATCTATATCATATGTCGACTTAACTAACACTGCTCGACTGAATATCAGATCACTGGTCAGAAAGAATTAGCAGCAAGCAACTGTGGAAACGAATCAAAATGGAATCTATTACTCAACAAATACGCAGAAAAAGATGAGCATAGGTTGCATAGACTCCGAGGAGACCGTTGGATGTTATTCGGATGAGAAACAACTAATTGGGTCTCCTAGGACAATGTGGAGGTGATCAAATGAGGAACAGGTGAGAATCTATAAGCAATCATAGTGTAACAACAAAAGACAAGGGCCAGCAACAGATCGTTTTATTACAGAAATCAGCACGTATTTATATATATTTCATGTACATTATTATAGCTTATTCAAGCAGACAAACACAGTCTTCTGATTGGTTGTTTCTAGTTTCCCGGAAATTTAAGCCACATATTTGCGAACCTTATTTACCCACATTAAGTCTGCTGTGATTGGTTGTTGAATCAGCCTTGTTCATATTTTCTCACGGCCCATATTAGTGACCTAGACATTGACGTAGATTAATGTCAACCAATTGGATAGCAGCCTGCTCTCACCACAATAGTACCACCTAAAGAGGACTGCGGAGAACAATGGACAAAGTGGAGATGTGCTGCTGAAGCCCGACGGAATTATATATATATATGAATCGTTTGCAGAACAACAGGAAACTATAATTATGGATTTTACATACTATAGTGGCACAGAGGTAGAGTGCTTACCAACCACGCCTCATATGGTCGGGAGTTCGATCTGCGGC